AGCCAACTAATATCACAGTGGGTACGGAAAGCATTCAGACCCCCGTCAGTTTTTCACTCTTAGTTGTATTTCAGCCATTTGCTAAAACCAAATTCTTTTTTCCCCCTCATTGATGTACACACAGTGCCCACATTGACAGAAAAACACGTAATTTTAAGAATTTCTGCAGATTTATTAAAAATGACAAAGTTTACAGCTAGCACTGCAGCTAACAGCCGTAAAGCAAGTAAAGAGCGCCCCCTAGGACACTCGCTATCAAATGCGGTTTTGTTCAGCAGAGGGCTGCAGAGTGGTGTCAGATATGGAACTGGTCAGTTTCTAACTCCACAATCATTAAGATCAACCTTAGAGCACAAGTTTACTGTTTAATCTGTTGTTTGTGTAACAGACGAATAAAGTTTCAGAGATTCGTGTGGGTTTATTTTGGTAAAACAGAGTTTGAAGTACTTATTTATCCATAGAGGCAATATAATCAAGTCACTGGGGGCGTATGATGTAAAACTGCAACTATCGTGCAGAATTTTCTTGTCTATCTGTAACTTAAAAAGAGTTGTAGCCATTTTTATGTTGTTGGTTAGCCAATCATACACCAACAGTGAGTCAGTAGTCCACTGAGGGACAATAAAAGCAACTCTACAAACTGTCACACCCCCTCACATAGAGGAGGAAGGGTAACTGAGATATTTCAAGGATATGTTTACATTTAGAACTTTTATATGAGAAAACAACCAGAGTTAAATCTGTGGGTAGCAGAACTGGTGTGTGGGCTACGGTGGCTGCAAGCAATTAAAAAGGAGGCAGATGTCCCCACATTATCCTTATTGCTATGTTACACTCAGGAATTACATCGTTAATATAATCACTAAGCCGATACTCATTGTGGGATGAATGGAGAAAGATGGGGCTGAGTCCTCGTGAAAAACTCAAAGCGTTTTTGTTCCAGTTGAACTGGTAGACGTCACTGGGGAGCTTTCACCGGGGGTCAAACGCGATCTGCTAGAATAAAGGTTAATTAGATGAGTCCTCCTTTCTGCAATCACCTCCACATCTTATAATTCATCCGACTCTGAAGCTTCGTTCACACTGATGCTGAATCTTCTCAGGCATGGTCTCAGTGGGTGCTTGTGGGCTGACGCTGGCTCGTGGTGGGAATACGCCGCGTCTGCTCTGTTCTGGTAAGCACTTTTTGTGGGTGAGGCTACATTTCGCCGTGCCCCCTAACCCGTGTTTCTGCTGAAGCGGAGGACGCTACGTTATCGTGGGTAACCTAAGACGACCCGGAGACTGCAGCAGTTAGCAAAATATTAGGACAGCTCAGGGAAAAAATGTCTGCGAGGACGAAGTGGACACATTAAGCTGTTCACGTGTGCTTTATTAAAGTTGGACATCTCGGCGCCGTTTGCTATCCTGCTTTCATTTGTCACTGTCACAACAACGAGCTAATAAAGGAATTAGGACGATCGTGGTTTTGATTTATAGGATCGTCAGCTTTATCCAGCATGATGAGCCAGCTCTAATCAGACCGCGTGAATCATTTTTCATTAACGTCTTCAGACTAAAAAGGAAAAGGGATGTCACAGTTGCAAAAATTTGCCACGCAGTCGACATGCGGCGCTTACTGTTGTGTTTCTGAGCACAAAGTCAGACCTGCTCTGCTGCTTCTCCTGAACGAATCAGGTCAAGCACTGATGGAGCAAAGCTTCACTTGAATTTCCAGATTATCTCGATGCAGAAGCAAAGCAGGAGGTTCAGAGAGGAGTTATCTAGTAGCTGTTTGCTGATTGCAAATGAGACTTTTCCGTTTGTAAAAACGGACAAGGTTAGAAGAGACTTTGGATACTTCTTTGACTTTTTTCCACCCATGTAGCAGGAATGTCAGTGCTCATCTCCCAGGGAGACGTTTAACGACTCCATAGTAACAAGATTACAACAGAAATACCCGGCAACAAGATTAGCTAGGTGTCTTGATCATATCCGTTGTCCATAAAGAATAAGCCTGGCTCTTATCTTGTGTGTGTGTGTTGTAGCAACAAGAGATGAGACGGGATTTACAGCTGGGTCCAGGTCTGGTGCTTTAAAGCCCCGATGGCTCAGGCTGCATCAAGCCCCCGACACACAGCTACCATCCACAGTCTAGTCACAGAGCTCACAGAGCCAAGGTCACACACACACACACACACAGAGCACGGTCGCGGTGCTGCTTATGTCATCGCTTAATCAAGGGATCAAGGGTGACACAAACTCAGGCGTTTTGTTTATAATTCGATGGTTGTTCATGAACTCTGAGCCGGAAGCGCGTTGACGTGTTTCTGTTGCACCAGATGTTTCCAGATCCTGGTGATCTTATTTAAAGGGTCTTTCTCCCATCGTCTTCTGTTTTTATCTACTTTTAGTCACTAAGAATTGAGGAATAAACACAACAAGCTGTTAGTTGTAAACGTTCATGCTATAAATAAATGCATAGGTGTTTTCACAATTTGAGATTTTTTCACACAAAATTCTATTTGTTACGGAAGACTAAAATTTTCCAAATTGGGGGGGGGGGGGGGGGGGGGGGGGGGTCCTATGATACAGCGCTAGGACCAATCAGAGCAACGTGACGTATTCATTGCTACAGAAATCTGTCAACGGGCCAGACCATCAACAAAACAGCAAATACATCCTACTGGCTCATGTCCCAAATACACAGTGATGCAGGCGTCGTACCGGTCCATCGTGGTGAAGAGAGCGCTGAGCCGGAAAACGAAGCTCGATTAATCTACGTTCCTACCCTCACCTGTGGTCGCGAGCTTTGGGTAGTGACCGAAACAACGAGATTGCGGATACAAGCGGCCAAAATTAGTTTTCTGCGTAGGGCGTCTGGGCTCTTCCTTAGAGATGGGGTGAGAGGCTCTGTCATCCGGGAGGGGCTCAGAGTAAACCCGCAGCTCCTCCACATCCTGAGGAGCCAGTTGAGGTGGCTCGGGCATCTGGTTAGGATGCCTCCTGGTGAGGTTTTCCAGGCATGTTCAACCAGGAGGAGACCCAAAGGAAGACCCAGGACACTGGAGGGACCATGTCTCACAGATGGTCAGAACACCATAGGATTCCCCCGGAGAAGCTGGTCTAACTGGCTGGGGAGAGGGAAGTCTGGGCCTCCCTGCCTAGGCTGCTGCCCCTGTGACCCGACCTCGGATAAGCAGACGATAATGGATGGAAGTTCCAGTGATTCAACAAATTTCTTTTGCCTTTTAGTTTTTCTTTCTCACCAATTTTCATACTGCTATTTACAAAGTGCACTCTAATAATGTTACAACCAGTGTTGTGCCCGAACGCGTTCACTGAATGATCGTTCATGAATTAGTTCGTTTTTTTTTTCTTGAACGTGAACTGAACTCGTTCGTATTTTGCCTGACAAACGTAAAAGTGAGTGGGTTCGTCCTGGAGTGCGTGAACGGGTTTATGAACGCGTTCTTTCGCCGTTCTAGCTCCAGATCTCCACGGAGCTTTTCCGGAGCTAAAGCCTAGCTAAAACATCCTGTTAGCCATAGAGTAAATAAAAAGTATAACCCGCAAATGCGGCCAAACTTAGGCAGTAGCGGTTGGTGCGGCATCTACTCTTCTACGTCTGTGCTGTGTGCAGGAGTCAAAGTTCATTCAGAAAAATTAAAAAGGGACTAAACTGAAAGATTATAAATTTTTTATGTTTTGCACTTTTAATATTGCACTTTGAGTTTGCTACCTCAGCCTGCTTCCTAAGATTGTTTAATAATTTCCCATTAAAATAATGTTTTCCTCATGTTATTAATGAATATACTGTAGGGTAAAAACTGCTGCTGGGTGTGAGTGTGGACTGAACGGGTGCCAAACATTGGAAAATTATTTCATAAGTGATATATACATACATACATACATGTGTGTGTGTGTGTATGTATATATGTATGTATGTATATATATATATATGTGTATATGTATGTATGTATGTATGTGTGTGAGTGTGTGTGTGTATATATATATGTATGTATGTATATATATATATATATGTGTATATGTATGTATGTATGTATGTATGTGTATATATATATATATATATATATATATATACACATACATACAAGTATGTATGTATGTATATATATATATGTGTATATGTATGTATGTATGTATGTATGTGTATATATATATATATATATATACATACATACAAGTATGTATATATGTAAGTATGTATATGTGTGTGTATGTGTGCATACACAGATATATTAGGGATGTAAGAAAATATCGACATGGCAATATATCGTGATATTGTTTCCTGCAATATTATATCGATATTCAAAAGCCGTGTATCGAATTTCGGGAAGAATTCACATGAATTCACATTTGTGTATTTTCATTTCCTTTGGTGCAATTCAAACGCCGACTTCTAGTTGGCAGCAGTGTGCAGTGGGTTTTGTTTCCACTATTGAAATGTACATCTCTTTATTACGGTTCAGATACATCACGATAAACATGTTAAGTATCAGTTTGGGCAGTTTATTGAAATTTCCTACAATAGATTCAGTCTAAAAAAAATCGCTACTATTGTCTGGCTGAATGTAACGCGATATATCGTGGTATATCGTATCGTCTCCCCCGTATCGTGATGCATATTGTATTGCCAGAATTTCACCAATACACATCCCTAATATATATATATATATATATAGGAGAAATAAAGAACAGTGAACGTAGTTCAGCATTTTTGATATTATGAACTAAGAAGCAAACTAGTTCGTTTTAAAACAAACTTTCCCAACACCGGTTATGACTATAAGCTTCTTTAATGGGTAATAGGTGTAACAGTCACACCATCCATGCTGGTGTCCTAAGTAAATATTTAAGTGTAACATTTTGAAGTTGTTGGTTTTTTTGGGCAGAAAAATGAATCAGAATGGAGTCCTGCTTGATGCGTCATGTAAAATAAGATATATGAACAGGTACGTGACCTTTTGTCACTGATCTAAAAGCTTTTTATGTTTTAGATCACAGATGTGTCCTTGCCCAACTACCTGGTGGCCTCCTCTGTGGGTCTGCTGCCCACACAGCTCCTCAACTCCTACCTGGGCACCACGCTACGCACGATGGAGGACGTCATCGCCGAGCAGAGCGTCAGCGGCTACTTTGTGTTCAGCCTGCAGGTGAGTTTCTGTGGGAACTTCATGGTCTAACATCAGGAAGTGTGAGGTACACCCACGGGAACACCTTACAAGCAAGGAGTTGGTATTTGCTTCGGCTCTTTGAGGCCTGAGCTACACACAAAACCCTGTAATGTAAAAGTCAAAATGTAGTCAAAGGTACATGTTGAGTTAATCTAATTTTATTTCAAGAGTGGTTGGATGTGATTTATTTAAGGGGGACTGTTTTCGCTCCAGTGTTCTTGTGCTGTTTCTGCGTTTCCGAGTGATTAAGGCGCCGTGACGATTATTCTGAGCACAGCAGGAAACGCACCTGTTCCCCTCTTCCAGGAAGACTCTTTACACTGCAGCCGTGTGTGAAACTGGAGCGCCGGTAGCTTAAAGGTGAAGCCATATCCAGTTCTGGACCACTCCTTGAAAAGGATGTCGTTTATTCTGGTTCTGTGTAGCTTTCGGGTGAAACGAGTTAGTCCGACGGCACAGAGGTTAAAACACCTGCCCGCTGATCTTTTGATTTTCTGAAAACACACACAAGGCCTGATGAGAGCTAGGTAGGTGAATGATTGCAAAGATTTAAATTTATTTTAAGAAATCTTCCAGGTTGGTGCACCAAAACGGCTCACGTGAGTTCATCAAGTTACTCATTTTTGTTAAAAGAAAAGCCAAAAATCTTCGTTTTCCTATTGAAATGTGACCACCTGAAAAAATGACTCGTTGCAGAAGCATTCCACTCAAGTGTCACACAGTAGCTGAAGAACTGGACACCCTAAAGGTGTCAGTCCCACCTCAAACATGGAAACTGTGGAAAATTACCAACAAAGTCAAGATATAACACCAAATTTTAGCTCTAGTTCTGTACCCTAACCCTAAAAGGACAGACGGCCATCTTGAATTTGGTTGATTCCATGAACTGAGGTCTAGACGTACAGCCAGGGATTCATTACTGAATGTGGTCTATAGAATAGCTTAACAAGGGTGCCGAATGAAGGCGGTCCCATTTTCGCAGCGCTTCCGCGGCCGGTGTGTCCCGAAAGATGGTTGCGCTGTCGCCAGACGCCATTTTTTACAGCTAAAAAGCTACAGCGTTGCAGACGTCACACACAGCTATGCTCAGTTTCTCACAAACCACAAAGACAGCGGCGGAGTTCGCTGCGGCTCTTTCCTCTGTTCTCAATGACTCGAATGTCTTTAGAACCACAACAAGTAGAAGCGCTAAAAGCATTTCTTCTAAAAAAAAAGATGTTTGCGCCGTTGCCAGACGCCATTTTTGACTACAGCTAAACAACTACAGCGTCGCGCGGTACAGTCGGCATTTCCGTCTTTTTTCTGATTGGTTAATTTTGAGCTGCCTAGTCCCGCCCCTCAAGTGCCTCTCTGCCTGTGAGTTACCAGACTCTCTCTCTGTGCAGAATTAAACAGAGATCGAGTCTGGCAGGCCAGGCTAAGAAACTACAGCAGATCTATAGAAACGAGTGTGTGACCACTTTAAAATCCATTCCTTTAAATCATACTTAAGGCATGACCGAACCAGTCCATTGTCCAGGTCTAAGATGTTATCACGTGGGATTGTTGCAAGTTTAAATGATGCAAATGAAGAAAAAAAGATCAGCAGTTATGCAAAAACATTCACACAAGGTCAGATCTGCAAAAGGAAATGCTGTCCCGGAGTCTGGGACACGGTTCAGTTACGTTTCTTTGCATCGCACCAAATCACGGCAAGTCATCTCAAGGCACTTCACAAATTCATATGCAGGGAAACTCAGCAGGTTGCATCGAGTCACTCACTTGTGTCATTGACTTTACAGAAATCCTCATACTAAGCAAGCATGTAGCGACAGTGGAGAGGAAAACTCCCCTTTAGCAGGAAGAAACCTCCAGAAGATCCTGGCTCAGTAGGAGCAGCCATCTGCCGGGTCTGTCTGGGGTTTAAGAAGCCCGAGCAGACAGACGGACAAACTGATGAATCAACGGTTGTCTCTCTCTCCAGATCATCATCAGCATCGGTCTGATGTTCTACGTGGTCCATCGGGCTCAGGTGGAGCTGAACGCAGCCATCGCCGCCTGCCAGATGGAGCTGAAGTCCTCACACATGAACGGCTCCTCCTCCAGTCATGGGGGCTTCTCTTACTGCAGCAAGAGGGCGGCGGCTGGAGGTGCGGCCTGCATCAACGTGGTCTGACTTCAGCCGACCGCGGCTCTGACGCTCGTAGGACTGCGTTTTAACGGAGTTAAGAACGAGCGTGCCGGAGGCGTCGTTTTTCTTCATGCGATCGTATTCCGGCCAGCCGTTTGGGAAAACCCTGAGCCTCTTTCCTGTTTTTCTAGTTTTAGGCACGTGGGACCACGCGCCTTTGTCGAACCTCTGCCGTGACGATTGGTTTGCTTTACATTATTGGGAGTTTTTGTAATTACCGTTAAAGAACCTCTTAATACTTGCTGTTACAGGAGATGTCAATGAAATGCTGACGTTTAGTAGGATCTCATGGGTCGTGGAGAACACGGCAAGGCTTTAACTGCCTGCTGTCTTTGATATGAATGTGCAATTTGGAACTTTCTTGAGAACCAAGGAACTGATTTTGTGTTGCTAACCTATGCACCTTTATTTCATACTGTTCCTTCTGGTTTTGCTTGGTTTCAGGGGACTTTGTCTACATTTGTTGCTCGTTTAGAGCAAACAAAATAAGGGCATTAATAACACATTTGAATATATATAAATATATTTTATTTTGTCTAATTTTTCTAAGTGTCTTTAAAGGAGAAGAGAGGGAAGGCTCTCTGTGACATCAGCTGACTTACCCAGAGAGGGCTTTTTGAGGAAGATGAGCCGGCTTCACGGCAGGAAACTCAGGAATGCTTTTTCCGAGACGTTTTGAGTCCGAGGATACGGAGGCATTCCCACACTAAAGTGCGATGTCCTGGAAAAGGCTCAGATCTATTTACTTTCAACTTTTTCTTTACTTTTTAAGGCGAGATGATCAGCTAAGGTTTATTGTGATTTCTTTGACTAATTAGTGCAATACGTGTTAAAGAGGGGATGAGAAGGCATGAATGTGCTAAAACCAAACTAATCCAACAAAATCCTGTCATTAAATGGAAGTAACACAAACCTTGCGTGTCTATTAGGTTTGATGTTGAGATAATCGTACTGAACGGACATGAAGAGGCTTTTATTTTTAGGAGCCTTAAAGAAATGCACTGTAAAATCTGATCAGTTACTCTTACCGGAAAAAAGATTGTAAACCGATTGCAGTTAAAATAATAAGTAGGTAATTATGTTGGACACAAAATGTGTATAAAGTCAAATGCATTTAAATACAAGCTACTACAACTAAGAAAAACCAATTAAATGGTAAATGGCCTGTATTTATATAGCCCCCCCAAGGCACTTCACAACACAATCAGTCATTCACCCATTCACACGCTGGTGACGATGATGAGCTACGATGTAGCCACAGCTGCCCTGGGACACATGATGGAAGCGACAGGTTCCTCCGACCACCAGCAGACTAGTGTTAAGTGTCTTGCTCAAGGACACATTCTCTGGCGGGAGCTGGGATCGAACCTGCAACCTTCCGATTACTGGAACACCCGCTCTACCTTCTGAGCTACTGCCGTCCCTTGTAGATATGAAGTACTTAGGAAATAGCTTACTAAAATAGTACTTGGATCTTAGTTAAAGCAGTAGTTCCGAGTCTTCCCCTAGTAAAATGTATATTTGACTTTTTTATATATTTGAGTTTATTCTTTACTTTTTCTATTTTTTTTTTTTTTTTTTTGCTAGGTCCACCCCGGTACCATAGAGCCTTATGTAATATTACTTAGTATATTAAATGATAAATGACCCGTACTTGTATAGCGCCTCTCAGAGTAAGGACTCCAAAGCGCTTTACACTACAGTGTATCATTCATCCATTCACACACACATTCACACACTGATGGTGATGAGCTACATTGTAGCCACAGCTACCCTGGGGCGCACTGACAGAGGCGAGGCTGCCGAGCACTGGCGCCACCGGTCCCTCCGACCACCACCAGCAGGCAAGGTGGGTCAAGTGTCTCGCCCAAGGACACAACAGCAGAAATCTCTGTCTGGAGCCGGTATCGAACCTGCAACCTTCCGATTACTGGACAACTTGTTGAGCTACTGCTGCCCCTAATATTACCGCTCAGCATTAGCCAGTAGCGTTAAACATCCGCCTACGTACAGATGATGATCGCGGAGCGTGCGTTAGCAGAAGTACCCAGACAGACGCAGACTTGGCAACATGTCTTATCGACAATTAAATTTAAAATGTGTATATCTGAAAAAACAGCGTGACGTAAGAATAACTGTAAAACTGGGTGATTTAGCGCTGTTGCGTGGCTAGATGCGCAGCATGAATGAGAGGCATGGCTTTCAGCCGTAACTACAGAAGTAGGGAGAGGGAATGAAAGGTGCGATGCGTTTTGCTGCCTCTAGATGGAGCCCTCTGAGAACAAACTCTGGATTTCCACTTTAAGCAGTAGTAGCCCGTAAGTACGTTTTTAATTACTTTGTACTGGTTTGTCTCTGTTATAGTGACTTGCAATTAAGTGGATTTTACTTTGTACACATTAGTGGCTCCAACACACTTATCATGTGTACTTAATATTGTACCTGCCATCAGATCCCATGCTATTTTTCAAGTAAGTGTAACTAATCCGATTTTAGAGTGTAAAAACTTTAATTGTGAGGACAGACGTCACCTGTGAACGCTCTGTGTGTGTCTTTTAGCTCTTCAGACAACAAAGTTCTCCTGCTGTAGTCTACTTTGCACAAAGCCCGCTGCAATAAACGTTTTCATACAGATGTGTTGAACTAGGAAGACTTTTGGTTGAACTGGAAATTAAAAGCTGACAATCAAACGCAACACAGACATTACATAAAGAATGTGGTACTATGTTTTTATTTTATTACATTATGATGCTGCTTCCCAGACAAAGTCTGGTAGAGGAATAAAAAGGGCTTCTATGTGATTGTTTTTATTCGTCTGAACACATTCCACGCTGTCAGTCCTCTGAGAAGCTGTTAGTTTCTCATGTTGAAGATCCACTTCCTGTTTAAATTTAGCAATAATTCAGTCAACAGCAAAGATAAGAGAAGAAAAAAAACATTTATCCGTAAAATCTTTTGCCAAGGTTCTGGAATTTGGAATTGTTCATTCCCAGCGTTGTTTATTTGACTGTAATGAATGATTGTGACTATTTCCAAGTCCGTGTTGACGTGTTCAGCCTGCCTTTTTTTTTTACCTCCTGCTGCCTCTGATGGAAATTTCTGCTGCCAACGATGTGAACGGCATGTCACCAGACGACTAAATGTGACAGCTACCTTTTGTAGCACTTTGTTTGGAGAGTTCCTAAAAAAACAACTAGATGTTTAGCTGATTCACTTTATTGTCGCGTGAACATCTTCAACCGCCGTTTATTTAGTCTGTAACAAAAACAAGTAGACAGACGATATTTAGCCTTTTAGATGCATCTCTTTTTCACTCTTTTTTTTTTAAATATCAAAAGTGTGAAAAATAGTCGACCAAAACTCTTAAAAAGTGTCTTAATGGAAAATATTCAGATCAAAGGTGGAAAACGATGCTTTTCATACAGAATTTATGAAACTTGATTGGCAACACACTTATGATGATTTCGGTGTCTCGTTGGACACTTTAAAATATTTCGTTTAAATGTGCGAAATACATGAAAGGTTCTTTGTAGGCTTATCTCTGAAATATAGTTATGCAACACCTGATTCTGAAGGGAGGCGTGAGCTGCAATACTTCCCGGTCTGTATCAAGTGCATTACAAATATACTGTATTTTGTAATACGGAGAGTTTTACAGTGTATAAAAGCTATTTATCACTGTATGATGCTTGTTCAGTGTTATTTATGATGGAGACAATAAAATATCTCAGAATTTGTTACTCCCTTTTTCTTACTGTTTCATTGTTGACAGAAACATGCCTGAGAAATTAATAGATTTTGAATGTTGGTAACATCTTAAAAACGAAAGGTAGGGCGATATAGGTCTTAATTATGGTCAAATGTACCAATTTATTGTTGTTTGGTTTAATACACTGTAACCTATAAAAAAACTATTGAAATTTATGGTAAAACGCTGGCAGCTGATGTTGCTGAAATTCCACCTTAAAGTGACGATGTGTATTTTCCCTGGTGATTGGGGGGGGGGGCAGTAATACCAAAATCATCGCAAGCACGCAGTATTTTTGTGTTCGAGTTAGACCGCACCGACGGATGGCCATTAGGGTCAAAGATCCCAGCGAGCGCAATTTTTGAACAAGTACTTCATCAGATCGTTCATCCTCCAGCCAAATGAAAAGCACATCTAACCCTAACCCTTTCATCAGTGGCAACATTCGAACAGGTAAATGTGTAAAACAACATTTATGAATGGCGAACTTTTGTAACAGTTTGTTCCAAGTCAGTAAAAGCATTTGGTCTTCAAATATGGAGTCGCCCAGAGACTTGGGGTGTTTCACAATGTCAGCGCCTGGTCTCGCAAGGCGATATCTCACAAGGCCAG